ACGCTCTCGATGGTGAGGGGGACGCTCTCATTTCCCGAGGCCTCCGCAGTGCTGATCAGTTACTCGTCCCACCTGCGTTACATGATTTCATTTCAGTGTGTCGGTGTCTGTCGCCGACGACGCTCACTCTGATTGTACAGTTTGGGGCTTTTCCCGGGTTTCTCCCGAGGGCACCTCGTGGCGCCCTTTCTCCACCTGCGAGTGCGGCTGCTGCCGTGCTGATTCAGTACGGTCTGTGACTGGGTACTCTTCTGAAAGATGAATGAATTTCCTTCTGTCCTTAAATATTTATGTTTCTTTATGATCTAATATATCATCGTGGTATGGGGACCCCCCCACCCGCAACTATGGAAAATACACTATCAGTTACCTGTCAATTTTGTTTAATGACTCAGCTTTGCGATTCTGGGGCGCTGTTCATCCGAGGCTCCTGAGGACCCTTTTAGTCTCCCAGTCCCCTTCAGAGCGTCATTGTGGGGTTTATAAAGGTCTTCATTGCACAGAGGATATTGCGACATTAAGGACTTAAGTGGCACGTCCTTTATCACTTACCACACTGGAGGACAGCGGTCTAGAAATCCGGGCATCTTTCTCTTGCCGTGTGCTCCCAGCGTAGAACAACAGGCTCTGTAGAAAGCCAGCCGTTTACCCCTGGAAACACCATCCGATTTTTTCAAGGGAAGTTCAATTTAATCTGGTCTGATGGGCTCAGTGTTACTTCTTAAGATAAATGATGAAAATATCAGCGTCATAATACAAAGAAACCCAGTTCTTTTGGTTTCATCTGATTGAAAAGTATTACAGCCCACTTATTGCTCCTGTCTCCTTCCCTGATGCTGTCAGGTCCCCGGCTCACGGAGATGGGGATGGTTCTGTCTTTCCCACACCGGGCAGACCCTGGCCCGGAGCCCTGGCCGGTTTGGGAGCTGGGAGTGAGCGTGTGTGGGGACGGGCCCTGGGAGCCTGTGCTCTTCACGCGCTGCCCGGCTCTCCCGTCTGGGCGCCTGCGGTGGGACTAGCCGGCTCGCCCCCAGCTTCGGAAGGAACGCGACCCCCACCCAGTCTCTCTCGCTCCGTCTGGCAGATCGCGCTTTGAACGTGTCTTCTTGAGCAGTTTGAAAACGTGTGCTTAGTCCTGTAGGTGGACGGTCTCAGGCTCACCTGTGCACCGAGGGAGACAAGCAGATGAGGCAGGGCCTCATCCATGAGAACGGGGAGGGAGCGTGGTGGCCGGAGCACACGGGGAGCCGTGGGGGAAATACAGCGCCTCTTCTACAGCACCGGGTTTTCATTTGTTTATTTATTTTTATTGATTTTATAGAGAGAGGAAGGAAGAGGGAGGGAGAGATAGAAACATCGATGAGAGAGAACATCGATTGGCCGCCTCCTGCATGCCCCCACTGGGGATCGGGCCCACAACCTGGGCATGTGCCCTGACCGGGAATCAAACTGGCCACCTCTTGGTGCCTGGGTGGATGATCAACCACTGAGCCACACCGGCCGGGCAGTACTAGGTTTTTGTTTTTGTTTTTTAATCCCATTTAAAATTTATTTTGGAATTATGCATTTTTGCAGATCTTCTCAATTGTGGTTTTATAGTCAATTGTCTTTGATTTTGTTGTTGGCCTAAAAAAGAATGCAACGTTAGGTAAAGAACATGACTGGTAAATATGTCCATATCCTCAGAGCACAGGAGCGAGAGGATACTAAGAACATGCTGGTTAGTGACATGCCAACTGTTATTGCAAAGTCAAAGGTAGACAAAATGATCATACAAACAAAATTAGCAATAATATTATTCATAGTAATAGAGTATTTTTTTTACTTAATTTTATTTTTGTTGCAGATGTTTCTCCTTTTTTACCCCATTGACACCCTCTTCCCCATCCCCCCCGCCCCCTGCCCCGTCCCCGGCTTTGTTGTCCATGTCCATTGGCTACGCATACATGCATATAAGTTCTGTGGTTTATCTCTTCCCACCCCCCACCACCCCCTCTTCTGAGGGTTATCAGTCTGTACTCTACTTCCATGTTTCTGGGTCTACCTTATTCCTCAGACTGGTAATAGAGTATGTTGAAAACTGATAAATCTACATGTAATTTCTCCATATGTTTTATTTGTTTTTATTCTTTTTTTTAAATAAATTTATTTATTTTTGTTACAAATGTTTCTCCTTTTCCCCCCACTGATTCCCCCCTCCTCCTCCCTCCCCACCCTGTCCCCACCTTTGTTGTCCATGTCCGTTGTTCATACACACATGCATATAAGTTCTGTGGTTTATCTCTCCTCTCCTACCCCCTCTTCAGGGGATTGTCAGTCTGTACCCCACCTCCACGTCTCTGGGACTACCCCGTTCCTCAGACTGTTATGTTCATTACATTCTACAAATAAGTGAGATCATGTGGTATTTGTCTGTCTCTGCTTGGCTTATTTCACTTAGGATAATACTTTCCAGGTCCCTCCATGTCGTCTCAAAGGATAAGAGCTCTTTCTTTCTTACAGCTGCATAGTACTCCATTGTGTATATGTACCACAGCTTTTTTATCCATTCGTCTACTGATGGACACTTGGGCTGTTTCCAGATCTTAGCTATTGTAAATAGTGCTGCTACGAACATGGGGGTACATATATTCTCTCTGATTGGTGTTTCAGGCTTCTTAGGGTATATTCCTAGAAGTGGGATCACTGGGTCAAATGGAAGTTCAATTTTTAATTTTTTGAGGTAACACCATAGTGTTTTCCGTAGTGGCTGCACCAGTCTGCATCCCCACCAGCAAGTACTGGGTTTTTAAAAAAATTACTTTTTAAGCTACAACTGATGTGTTATGGAGTAGGAGCAGTTCACATGGATTTTATGCCTGACATGAAGCTTCAGGAAACTTCCTGACTACAGCTGGTGCTGGTCCCAGACCTCCGGAGGTTCGAGTTCACGCGTCTCTTCTCCTGGCACTGCCTCTGTGTGCGTCCAAGGGTACCCGAGCAGTGGCTCCTCCACGCGCTTCCCGAGGTTACACTGAACCCCATTTGAGACCACTACAGAAATCAGCCCCAAGAGGACCCTGTACAAGGAGTTGCTGCCAGGAGTCACCCCGAAACTTGCCATCCGGGACGAGCACTTTCCAGTCCTGCCACTATTTAGGAATATTCACAAAAGAGAATTATTTCTCCTATTAAAAAAAGAAAAGAATATGTTCATTAGAAAAGGAAGTTGGCAGAACAGGAAAAGGAAGTCGCTGTGTGCAGACGTCAGTGCTCTTACTTCCCACAGTCCCATTGCAGAACAGTTTATAAAATGCCCTTGAAGTTATGGAGCCCGGAATGCCCTCCGTCCCGCAAGGATGCTTGGTTCTCCCACAGGGCATGTTTCTCCTCGGGAAGTTCCTGGTGAGAAACTCAGCCACGGCCCGAGCCCAGCAGGAAGGATTTCTGAGCAAGTGGTCCCGATACACCCACACGATCCCATCACCCCGAGCTGCCCTGGGCCCGCTGCCTTGCTGTCCCATCAACCCGGCCAGACGGCCCCTTCCCAGGCCACTCCGTGGACCGCTGTCTCATGGGTCTTCCCGAAGATCCCTTGGTGTGGCTCCTCTGCTCTCAACAGAGCCTTGGGCCTGGGGAGGGGCCTCCACTGACTGAGGCAGCCTGCTGTCGAGCGCGCTGCCTTTTCACTCCAACTGCCTTGTCCCGCAACTCCTGCACCTCCCGGTGCTCGGCTACACTTCAGGCAGTCAGGTTCTCTTCTCTGCCTTTGCCCCTTCCCTTCTCTTCTCCCTTAATCTGGGATTTCCCCCCGGAAACCCTGCCTGACACTGTCCTACCCCTTGCGGCGTCTTCCTTGACCCGCCACCTTGATTTCCTTCCTCTGCCGCACATCCACAGCGTCAGTACCTCCGTGGCACGCGGGGCATCTTCGGACTGTGTCCGTGAAGAGCGAGCACTGGCCCGAGGGTCGGAAACCTGGGCTCACATCCTGGCGCAGCCAGTCCCTGTGTTTGTGACACCGGCAAGTCCTCTCACCTCTCTGTGCTCTCTGTTTCCTGACCTGAGCGGGGACCAGTAGCTCGCTAGGCACATGGGCATTGGCTTGTCAGCAGGAATGCGTGATCGTTTCTCTGCCTTCCGTACCTCTCCTTACTGACCGCGCCGCTGAGGAAAGAGCCCTCGTCTTGCTCATCGCTGCGCAGTGCTGTTACATTGTGACATTGCTACCAGCACATTGTTATTATATTTCTAATTAATCGTTACTGTTTATGGAGCATGGATCATTGTGTTGGGCACCATTCTAAGTGCTTTCTATGGATTAATTAATGTTTGCAATAACCCTCAAGGTAGGTGCTGTTATTCTCCCACTGTATGCGGGAGAGACCATGCATCTCACAGAGCCTGCACGGAACGAGTGAATGAATGAGGAATGAATGAGACAACAATGATTGGTAGTGCTGCCTGATGATTGTCTTCCCCCTCTTGGTTTTATACCCTACTTCTCTTTCTTTGGAGGTAAATGCAATATTAGGAGAACATGCCTGGCCCGTTTGGTTCAGTGGTTAGAACATCCACCCATGAACCAAAGGGTCTCAGGTTCAATTCTTGGTCAAGGGGATATACCTGGGTTGCAGGTTTGATCCCCAGCCCCGGTTGGGGTTGTGAGAGAAGCAACCAATCAATATGTCTCTCTCACATCGATGTTTCTCTCCCTCCCCTCCCCCCGTCCAATCCCCCTCCGTCCCTCCTCCCCTTCCATTCTATATAAAAATCAATGGGAAAATGTCCTTGGGTGAGGATTAACAAACAAACAAAAATTAGGGGAAAGTTTTGATTAAACTCTGAACGATGTGAGTCTCCCCGGGTCTTCTCTTATTGTCATGAGGAGTGAGTGCCAAGAGGGCAGAGATGGGGTCTGTCTTGTCCTCCATTGTACTCGTAGGGCCTGGGGCCGAGTGATCAGTGAATGGTGAAAGAAATAACTTACGAACAGCATGTCTATGACTGTCTCCCCTCAGGCAGTATTACGAGATGTTGTACAACACGGCTGACGAGCTCCTGAACCTGGTGGTGGACCAGGGCGTGAAGTACACGGAGCTGGAGTACATCCACGCCCTGACCTTGCTGCACCGCAGTCAGACGGGGGTGGGCGACCAGACCACCCAGAACATGCGGCTGCAGCGGCTCAAGGAGATCATCTGCGAGCAGGCGGCCATCAAGCAGGCCACCAAGGACAAGAAGATAACAACAGTCTGACGGGGCCCTGCGCGGGGTGGCGTGGGGAATGGTTGCTTCTGTTCACTTCGCCATCTTTCTCGCTTTCTTTGGGGTGTCATTTGGTATACTCTGAGCTGACTTCGTTTTTTTAAGCTGATACTATAGTGGAGAGAAGGTGTGAGGATGTTTTTCTGTTTAGCTTTGGCTTTTTATATAAACTCTACAGGCAGTTTTCAGTACAGAATGCTTTGATTTAACAGCTACTTTTTAACGCAGTCGATTCCAAGGGGACTCGGGTGGCACGGGGAGGAAGGCTGGGGAACTGGACCCTGAAAAAGAGGGATGACGAATGATGAGTGCCCGGCCGTCTTCGGAAAGCCGGCTGCTGCCTGTGCACCTAAAACTGCTTCCTAGGTCCTCCAGGAGCGGGAGGTGTTCGCCGTGTGACCCTGTCGCTTCACAGCTCAGTGGAGTGGGCGCATGTGCACTGCTCCTGCCAAGATCCAACCGGCGGCTTCTCGGCCGGGTCGTCAGCAGACGTCCCTGACCAGAGCGGGACCTCTGCGGGCTGGGAGGAAAGTCCTTTAATGTCCATCCCTGGTCTGTTCCATTTTTGGTTTTGTTTCGGCTCTTTCAAAACCAAGAGCCATCAAATTAATGACCCAAATGGCAGAATGGAAGGTGATTCCTCTGTCTTCTTGATTTTCCCCCTGTACTTTCCAAGAGAAAAGAATGGCGAGAGGACCCCCATCTCGCTGGGAACAGGGCGTGTGAATGATTCTTAGCTGCTGTTCTCGCCCTGGGAAGTAGCCCAGGTCTGCTCAGCTAAGGGAGATGGAGCGGCCCTCCTCCTCTGCCGTGTGCCCCCGAGCTCTCTGCCGTGTGCCCGCCAGCCGGTCCGCCTCAGGTGCTCTCAGGTGGTGGTACGTGCTCTCTGCTCCGGCACACGGCCTCGCCGCCGGCCCCCGAGCCCTCTGCTCCGGCACACGGCCTCACCGCTGGCCCCCGAGCTCTCTGCTCCTGGCACACGGCCTCGCCACTGGCCCCCGAGCCCTCTGCTCCTGGCACACGGCCTCACCGCCGGCCCCCGAGCCCTCTGCTCCGGCACACGGCCTCGCCGCCGGCCCCCGAGCCCTCTGCTCCCGGCACACGGCCTCGCCGCCGGCCCCCGAGCTCTCTGCTCCCGGCACACGGCCTCGCCGCCGGCCCCCGAGCCCTCTGCTCCCGGCACACGGCCTCGCCACCGGCCCCCGAGCCCTCTGCTCCTGGCACACGGCCTCACCGCCGGCCCCCGAGCTCTCTGCTCCAGCACACGGCCTTGCCGCTGGTCCCGGGGCACACGGCCTCGCCACCGGCCCCCGAGCCCTCTGCTCCTGGCACACGGCCTCACCGCCGGCCCCCGAGCTCTCTGCTCCAGCACACGGCCTTGCCGCTGGTCCCGGGGCACACGGCCTCGCCACCGGCCCCCGAGCCCTCTGCTCCTGGCACACGGCCTTGCCGCTGGTCCCCGGGCACACGGCCTCGCCGCCGGCCCCCGAGCTCTCTGCTCCGGCACACGGCCTCGCCGCCGGCCCCACGTCCCCAAGTGCTCTTGGTTCCCATGGTCGACATGTCACCGGAGAAAGCAGTGCACTGACTGCGACGCACCTTGGACACACAGAGCGGAGAGCAGAGGGACTTTGACTGCAGTGGTCATTCCTCACGCCTCAGGGTCCAGAATTTCACACCTGTGTGTACAGCTTTGGTCTTGGTGGGAAAAAGGACAATTAAAAAGTGCTTGAGAAGCTTAAATGTTGAGTGTTGTCTTTGTCTTCGTTCAGCAAACATCCCGAGGCCATCTGTGTGGCAGACGCTGGGCGGCTGGGCAGCTGCCGGACCCCCAGGACTCTGTGTCTTTCATTGGACAGAGTGTGAGCCCCGGCCTGAGCTCCCACAGCCCAACCCCAGAGAGAGCCAGTCAGCCAGAAACTGCGGGCCCTCCCCCTGCTCAGTGACCTGGTCACAGGCACCCACCCCTCCCCGGACCTCCTGGTCTGGGTGTTTTCTCAGCCTGACAGTCAAAAAAAACCTTGAAATACAGCCAAGTGGAATTGGCAAGAAACCCTGATCATTCTCACTGTCGAGTCCTATCCGTGAATGTCTCTGCACTGATGCACTCAGGGAGAACCGCCCGTCACAGCTCAGGGGATGGGGTTCATGCAGGGACAGGCAAGGGACAGCCCCTTGTCACAGGGGCGTGGCCTTCGGCCCGAGGCAGAGACGTACAACTTCCCCTCGGACACTGTCCTCCCCGAGGCTCTGTTCTTCCTCAGCCTGGACACCTCACAGGGTGGAGGCCTGAAATCTGCCCAGCTTTGCCCTCTGGCAGCTCGGGACAGTGTGTCTCACTGTCCCTGTACCCTCCCTGCCAGCCCAGCACCCAGAAGTTCAGTCTTGACTGTTGATGGAAAAAAAGGATTTCCGCCTCCCAGGCCCTGAATGGGCCAAGGCCCTTGCCTGTAGGTTTCCTGCTCCGAGGCGGAGCTGTAGCCACCGCCCCAGGACCGGGTCACACACGCCGGCAAGGAGCAGAGGGTCACGGACTCCGGCAAGCCATACTCCCTCCGGGGCAGATCTGAGAAGACCAGCCGATGGCTGTCCTGGCAGGAGACAAAGTCAAGGAGCATCCTGAGCAGCACAGTGTTGCTAGAGGAGCCAGGTGTGCAGGGCACACTCCCGGGGGCAGTGGTGTTGATGTGGAGGGATGTCAAACAAATGGCGTGTTTGGAGAGGAGGGTGACGAGGTACCAAGAACGGGAAAGCAAAGAATGACCGGGCCCAGCAAAGGTCCTTCTGCGTCTGTCCTAAGGAGACACCGTGGTTATGCCAAGGAGGTGATTACTAAGTGCACGGCCAGATGTGAAATGCAGGGGGGTCTCTTTCCGAAATGGGGGTTGCAGCGAGGTGTACCTAGCTAGGAGGGGTGGTCCTCATGGCTGGGGCAGAGGTGTAGGCAGAGGCCTGCACAGTTCACACCCGGAAACAACTGATCCTGTTCCAGCGCCCGGGGTGTAGAGAGCACGGACTATCCAGAACGTCATGGGATGTTCCAACGGGGCCGGGGTGCAGAGAGCGCGGATTATCCAGAACGTCATGGGATGTTCCAGCGGGGCAGGGTGTAGAGCGCGCGGATTATCCAGAACGTCATGGGATGTTCCAACGGGGCCGGGGTGTAGAGAGTGCGGATTATCCAGAACATCATGGGATGTCCCAACGGGGCCGGGGTGTAGAGAGAGCGGATTATCCAGAACGTCATGGGATGTCCCAACGGGGCTGGGGTGTAGAGGAGAGCGGATTATCCAGAACGTCATGGGATTTCCAACGGGGCCCGGGGTGTAGAGAGAGCGGACTACCCAGAACGTCATGGGATTCCCAACGTGGCTGGGGTTAGAGAGAGCGATATCGGGAACGTCATGGGATGTCCCAACGGGGCCGGGGTGTAGAGAGAGCGGATTATCCAGAACATCATGGGATGTTCCAACGGGGCCGGGGTGTAGAGAGAGCGGATTATCCAGAACGTCATGGGATGTCCCAACGGGGCCGGGGTGTAGAGAGAGCGGATTATCCAGAACGTCATGGGATGTCCCAACGGGGCCGGGGTGTAGAGAGAGCGGATTATCCAGAACGTCATGGGATGTTCCAACGGGGCCGGGTGTAGAGCGCGCGGATTATCCAGAACGTCATGGGATGTCCCAACGGGGCCGGGGGTGTAGAAGAGGCGGATTATCCAGAACGTCATGGGATGTCCCAACGGGGCCGGGGTGTAGAGAGAGCGGATTATCCAGAACGTCATGGGATGTTCCAACGGGGCCGGGGTGTAGAGAGCGGATTATCCAGAACGTCATGGGATGTTCCAACGGGGCCGGGGTGTAGAGAGCGGATTATCCAGAACGTCATGGGATGTCCCAACGGGGCCGGGGTGCAGAGAGAGCGGATTATCCAGACGTCATGGGATGTTCCCAAACGGGGCCGGGGTGTAGAGAGAGCGGATTATCCCAGAACATCATGGGATGTTCCAACGGGTGTCCGGGTGTAGAGAGAGCGGGATTAGCGAGAACGTCATGGGATGTTCCACGGGGCCGGGGTGTAGAGAGAGCGGATTATCCGAGAAAGTCATGGGATGTTCCAACGGGGCCGTGGTGTAGAGAGAGCGGATTATCCAGAACGTCATGGGATGTCCCAACGGGGCCGGGGTGTAGAGAGAGCGGATTATCCAGAACGTCATGGGATGTTCCAACGGGGCCGGGGTGTAGAGAGAGCGGATTATCGAGAACGTCATGGGATGTTCCAACGGGGGCCGGGGTGTAGAGGAGCGGATTATCCAGAAACGTCATGGGATGTTCCAACGGGGCCGTGTGTAGAAGAGCCGGATTATCCGAACGTCATGGATGTCCAAGGGGCCGGGGTGATAGAGAGCGGATTATCCAGAACGTCATGGGGATGTTCCAACGGGGCCGGGTGTAGAGAGAGCGGATTATCCAGAACATCATGGGATGTTCCACGGGGCCGGGGGGGTAAGAGAGCGGATTATCAAACGTCATGGGATGGTCCAACGGGACCGGGTGTAGAGAGAGCGGATTATCCAGAACGTCATGGGTGTTCCAACGGGGCCGGGGTGTAGAGAGAGCGGATTATCCAGAACGTCATGGGATGTTCCAACGGGGCCGGGGTGTAGAGAGAGCGGATTATCCAGAACGTCATGGGATGTTCCAACGGGGCCGGGGTGTAGAGAGAGCGGATTATCGGGAACGTCATGGGATGTTCCAACGGGGCCGGGGTGTAGAGAGAGCGGATTATCCAGAACGTCATGGGATGTTCCAATGGGGCCGTGGTGTAGAGAGAGCGGATTATCCAGAACGTCATGGGATGTTCCAACGGGGCCGGGTGTAGAGAGAGCGGATTATCCAGAACGTCATGGGATGTTCCAACGGGGCCGGGGTGTAGAGAGAGCGGATTATCCAGAACGTCATGGGATGTTCCAACGGGGCCGGGGTGTAGAGAGAGCGGATTATCCAGAACGTCATGGGATGTTCCAGCGGGGCCGGGTGTAGAGCGCGCGGATTATCCAGAACGTCATGGGATGTTCCAACGGGGCCGGGGTGTAGAGAGCGGATTATCCAGAACGTCATGGGATGTCCCAACGGGGCCGGGGTGTAGAGAGAGCGGATTATCCAGAACGTCATGGGATGTTCCAACGGGGCCGGGTGTAGAGAGAGCAGATTATCCAGAACGTCATGGGATGTTCCAACGGGGTCCGGGTGTAGAGAGAGCGGATTATCCAGAACGTCATGGGATGTCCCAACGGGGCCGGGTGTAGAGAGAGCGGATTATCCAGAACGTCATGGGATGTCCCAACGGGGCCGGGGTGTAGAGAGAGCGGATTATCCAGAACGTCATGGGATGTTCCAACGGGGCCGGGTGTAGAGAGAGCGGATTATCCAGAACGTCATGGGATGTTCCAACGGGGACCAGGGTGTAGAGAGAGCGGATTATCGAGAACGTCATGGGATGTCCCAACGGGGCCCGGGTGTAGAGAGAGCGGATTATCCAGAACAGACATGGGATGTTCCAACGGGGCCGGGGTGTAGAGAGAGCGGATTATCCAGAACGTCATGGGATGTTCCAACGGGGCCGGGGTGTAGAGAGAGCGGATTATCCAGAACGTCATGGGATGTTCCAACGGGACCGGGGTGTAGAGAGCGGATTATCCAGAACGTCATGGGATGTTCCAACGGGACCGGGTGTAGAGAGAGCGGATTATCCAGAACGTCATGGGATGTTCCAACGGGGCCGGGGTGTAGAGAGAGCGGATTATCCAGAACATCATGGGATGTTCCAACGGGGCCGTGGTGTAGAGAGAGCGGATTATCGAGAACGTCATGGGATGTTCCAACGGGGCCAGGTGTAGAGAG